ATGAAATTACTAAATTTCACATGTGAGATGGATTTCATATATGAAATTTAGTTTTTGATATGTGAAGTGTATAACACCATATATGACTTGATTTTCATATATGAAAATTCTTATATGAACGAAATTACTAAATTTCACATGTGAAATGGATTTCATATATGAAATTTAGTTTTTCATATATGAAATTAAAATTTCATATTCATGTTTTTCATATATGGAATTTTAATATGTGAAAAAGAGAATATCACATATGAAACTGATATTTCATATATGAAATTACCTTTTCACATATGAAATTCTAATTTCATATATGAAAATCTTCATTTCATATATGAAATTCCAATTTCATATATGAACTTTAATGTGAAATTTTGTAAGGAACAGCATCTCTATTACTCAAGATTAATTATATAAACATTGCCTGAGGCTATGTAAAATTGGTAGGCATTCCAATAACTGAATAAGATCAAATAGTCTCAGTCAGGTTTCCCCAATTAGGTGATCAAATTAACGTAGTTGTAAGATTCTGCATCTGATTCATTGTAATGAATAATGTAGTTCAACAGGAATGATTGGGAATCTAGAAAATAAAAAATAAAAAATAAAATAAATAAACAGATTAGATTATTAAACTTGTACAGTGACTTGGCATGTCTGAGAAATTACCTTTGAGAGCCAAAAAAAGGTTGTCATTGCCCAATAACCAAGGAACTAATCTAGGGGAATCACTATAAAGTATAATTTGACCAATCTCCCAACATTGGGTCAACATGTAAGTTAAATAAAGTCTATTCGAGTACTTTAGAGTACTGTGGCTCCATGTCCATGACTCCATCAATCCATGTTGAATGTTGATGTTCATTTTCCTATCTGAATATCCTGTTTATGCAATGTTTAAATTAACGACAACCCCTTGATACAACATTGCACTTCACAAAAATAAATTGATAATTTGATATATATGAGCTAGAGAGCTTCAGAATTGCCAGAAGTTCTCACTCCTTCGGGGTCTTTTCTCATTTTCGGCGTTAAAAATGGTATTCGTTCAATTCCCTTTTGCTAAGAAGACGCAGTGTGCCATTTATTTGCAAAATTCGTGCAGAAAATGAAGATTGTTCGGTTACTGCGCTTAAAATCGCCGTTTTACTGCCAAAATTTTGCATTTCCCTATCTTTTTCCTGATACAAAATGTGCATGACACTTGCCGGAGGGTCGCACATGCGCATTAAAAAGATGGGGACATGAATTGCCTCGAGTTCCGCCTCTGTATATCTTTACTCTGTGATATTGTTTCAGAGCGTGGTGTCCACGCGTCACGCGTGAGCGTGGGATACTATAATATCCCACGATGGATCTGTCGTGGGATATTATAGTATCTCACGCTGCATTGCGAAAGCATGAGTTTGAGTGAAATACCGTATAAAATCACGTTATCACGTGGTACAAATGCTGTTTTTTTATTGGACAATTTGTATTTGAGGTATAGTGTTAATGAGAACACCATCCCTCCATGTCATTAGATGGAAGTATCAGGATTTCTATATTATTTACTCTATTTAAATACATAGCACTAAATAACATATATGCTATATACACTCGAATCCAAGACTCTAAAGTTCTACTTTGCATATATGTAGTGTCATTAGGATGACAATTTTTCCCATTAGTTTTTATTGATGTAAGAAGTGTTTGAAATCCTAAACATTAGCTTATTTACGTTTTTATACTTATTTATTTTCCACAAAATTCTCAATAAATGGTTGTGACATAGTCTGCGAATCTGTTTTGTTATGTAAATCATCACATATGACTTGAAGGTATCATTCAGGTAACGTTATCTTGAGCTTTCTTCGGTTCAAGACAACATATGGTGAGATTCCGGTAGTACAGTGAGGTGTAGCACGATATTAGCGAAGGAGTTCATAAAGATCTTGTTTCCATCTTCTTTCCTGAACATTAGCAGAACGTATAAATTTCCAACTTCGCCATTCGCTTTTGACCTGCATTGCCTAATCCTGCGATGTAGGAATGCAAGATATTCATGATCAACACAACTTGTCCATGGAGTAAGTTTTACTGGTTCTGCTGGAGCTGAGCAATCCGACATTGAAGCTTGGAAAGGGTAACAATTCTTATATTTTCTTCAGTGAGTTTGCCTGGGCCAAGAAACCAGAATTTGTCTCATAATAGTGTCTTCCTTTTTACGAAGCTTTGGTGGCCCGTGTGTGCGGTTTTGTTTAGTGGCAGAAACTACGGTTAACATTTCTCTCTCAGTTTGGGAATATCTTGATTCGACTTGCGGTTGGAGTAACAGATAACTTTTCGTTCTTGCATTAGTAAACCTCTAAGTCCTACCGAGCTTGCGTCAACAACGATTTCCGTCTCTTTTGTCGGATCAGTACGTCCAGCAAGAGCTTATTTTAAATTGCTAATTGCTCTCAGTTCTTCGTCGGTCCATTTTCAGGCGACGTTCTTCTTGGTAGGTTGGTAGGTAGGTAGTTAGGTAGGTAGGTATAGGTAGGTAGGTAGGTAGGTAGGTAGGTAGGTAGGTAGGTAGGTAGGTAGGTAGGTAGGTAGGTAGGTAGGTAGGTAGGTAGGTAGGTAGGTGGGTAGGTAGGTAGGTAGGTAGGTAGGTAGGTAGGTAGGTAGGTAGGTAGGTAGGTAGGTAGGTAGGTAGGTAGGTAGGTAGGTAGGTAGGTAGGTAAAACTTTATTTAAAAACAACACGCTAGCCTCGTCAACTTTCTCTGATTTCCAGAAAGGGTGAGTCTATTACATGAATATATAAATATTTACAAAAATCATCCTATTAGTATATATGGCTATAGTAACTATATTTACAATTTGTTAGGAGAACTTGTCAGCACTAATTCCATTTTTGAATATCAGCAACGAATCCGAATCACACAAATCTGGGGGTAAGGAATTTTACAATTTCGCCCCATTGTAAGATAGACTGTTTTCAGATTTTCAATACGTCTTGGAAAAAGGTGTTTGCAGAGAGGTAGAGGAGCCCATGAGCTCATAATCTGTGATGTCACTTTTACGCATAAAGAGATTGACAAGTGCGTTTGGAGTCGAGTCGTTTATGACTTTTTACATTTTAATTGCTTGACTTGATTCGTTGAAACTCGAGAGTTTCCCACCTTTAACCAGAAATTGCTTCCAATCCAGAGGTATAATTTTTTAAATTACTGTCATTGCAGCTCCATTCTCAAATTTTTGAAGCCGGGTTGAAAGACCAATATGCCCACGGTGTCCCACACTTCACTGAAATTATCAAATTGAGGAGGAAATAATGCATTGTAGAGCGAGGTCAAGGTTTCCCTATACTGTACCTTCTATGCCAAGTTTGTGAACTTGCATGTTTGGGTAAACTGGCTATATTAAGTAAAGCAATCTGAAAACTCCTAGTTTTTAGGAAAAGTGCCAGATATAGACTCTTCACAATTACCGTTCCCATTTTCACATGATCAATTTGTAATAACAAACTACCAGAGGGATTATTAAAAGTGTAGCCTCTGGAATTCAAATGTGAGTACTTACAGTATATTAAAATTATCTATAAATACCAATCCACTTTCTCTACTTGAGGGTTTTATAATAGAATTAGTTTGTCTTAACCGGTCTGCAATGCCCTTGACATATTTCTAGTAAGAATTCCAGGAACAATGACCTTGGTATAAGGACACTGCGTGATGATCGAGTGTAACATATACTATCAGCAACTAGATTTTGAGTCGGCGTTTCGTAGGTCATTAGTTCCGATCCTATCTGCAATAAAATTGTCGCCGGCTTTTTACGCAGTATTGGCTTGGTGTAATCCTCAGCCTTTGATATGCTTGATAATTGAGTCGGCGACGATTTGGTCAAGTCCCATTAAAAACGTTACCAAAACACCAAAGAAAACCAATTGGTGATTATACTGTATGCCAAGAATAAGATGTAAATAGTTTTTTATATATGATTCTTTAATTAAATGTATTAAAACAAGTGGGGACTGGGCCATAGCAAGCGCTCAGGTCTCCACCTTTTTGTGTTTTGTTGTTGCTAATACATATAGTAATAATAGATGTGCATATATGACAGCCTATAAAATGTCTGACAATGCAGTGGGATTGCCCACCTTCTGAAATATTATTTAACTGCAGCAACGTTTTGGCCATTACCAATGGGAATCTAAAAATAAGCAAGATGATTGGAATTGGCTAACACTTTAGAGGCAATTTTTTCAACGTCACGTATTTGCAATGAAAAGTGTTCAAAACCTAAAATCTTTTTGGCGTTCCTCTCAAAATTACTTTGTTTTAGCTTTATTCTCTAGTTTATAGAGTTGGCAACCTATTTAAATGCATTTGCCGGTTGAGAAACGTAAAATAATAGTTAAAAATTGTCAATTAAAATACAATTATCAAAGATGCTTTAAAATTGACGCCATACTTACAGCCATGAGCAAAGACGTCCAAAGAAGTTAAAGAGGTTTGTCTACAAAAACCTCGCTGCAGTGAACCACTCTTTATATAAACCATAGACTACCGCTCTTAATCCGCGGCCATGTTGACTGCTGGATGTCCAATGGCCGAAAAAAAGGGGGAAGTTTTACGATGCGCAAAGAAAAATGGAAACTAGAAACTTTTCTGAGACAGTCATTAAAGTAGCTGAGTGCAGCTACCTTTGCTTCAGTGTATATTACATATAATAAATAAGAAATATGAAAAGTTTCTCCTGGAGATTTGAAGTATTATTCAAGCACGAGTAGAAGCTGCTTTAAATGACTTGAAAAACGACCCATCTTATGAGTTCATTGGCGAAGTAGTTTTAAAAATATACGTGGTATGAGCGGAGAAAATCAAAGCTGAAGTCCATGTAAATTAACATGATTTTTACTCACATATAAAACCACCCACACACCAGTGATTTTCTTTGTCTATTCCTCAAGAATTATTAAATGAGTTTGTAAGCATTTTAATCTTTAAACCAGATAAGGTGTTCTCCTTCTAGGAATAGCTAATGCAAAACCAATCATAAAGAAGATACCAAACAAAGGAATCTATGATATTGGAGACGAAGTCGAACTAACATGTAGAGCAGAAAACACTACCAATGGGTATCAAATCAAATGGTACAAAATCAGTTCAAATAGCGAGCCAATGGAAATGAAGAAAGCTACGATAAAATGGGTAGGCGAAATTCAACATAAAATTTTGTTGTTGAAGTCATTGTCAGCGCAGGATATGGGGAGCTACAAGTGTGAATTATCCTTTCTTGACTATAGCGCCTCTGAGTCGGCAAATATAAAACTGAAAGGTAATAATCATTATATTTTTTATTAAAAATTATTTTTATATCTAGGTTCCGTTATTTACGTGAATTTATCCTGACGTGAACGCGACAACTTTGGATCGTCGCAGAGCTAACAATGCCAGTGCGCGCATTTTCGGGGGGTAAACCCCTAATGTCGCTTCCGAAGTGAGAAGTCAACCAATTTTTACCATAATCAAACATGGACTGGACTGGCATATATGTAATAAGAAAAAAAAACGGTGGGCCAACGATGTCACAACTCCACGAATTTTTGATAAACTCACAAAAAATAATCGTTATACTTCCCCTAATTTGAACATAAGCTTAGGTCATTTGAAAAGCGATCTCTATGAATATTATAAATCGGCTCTGAACATTTACGACGCATGCAGAAACTCCTAGAACATGGACGTCTGTATGTTTGTCTTGTAATAAGTCCGGTAATTTGACTTGTTCAAATTCGTGTTGTTATTAATTATAATGTGTGTCCCTGTGTTCGTCTTATTAAGCTTCATTGTCGGCTAATTTCCACTCAGAAAAACGTTCCACAGGAGCGGACGGCGTTGGAACTAACGACTTTAGCGCTATGTAACTTTCCTTTCCGTTCCTATCCTGAGGAAGGTTTTTCTGGGTGCAAACTGGCCTTTTTATATTACTAAAGATCTAATGAAGAATGTGTCTTGTCCGTTCTGTAAGGGCTGCTGTAATTGGCGTAAAGCTGTAGCATATACCCAGAATATACCCTGCCATTTGTACTGTATTTGTGCGATATGATTGTGTGAAATTGGCAAAGCATAATAAAAAAAATTCAACTTGAACAGAAAGCACCTTCATGCAATGCCTAAAGTAAATAGCGAGAAAAATGTATAGTTTTTCTTAGTCTTCTGGAATTAATCCAAAGAATATTTTGCGACCATCAACCAGTGACTTGCTGGTCGGGGGTGGGACAGTGGGCATGCCTCCTCCCCCTTGCATGCAATTGTGAAGAATTTTAGGGGGCGCGAAAACCTTTACAGGGGCGCCGAATCTGCATGAAATTAAAACAAAATTGTTAATTGCATTTAAAAATTTGCGAAAATATGTATCGATTGGAGCCAATTTTGAGTTGCAATTGACCTTCCCTAACGGACTGGATCCAGCACGCCACTGACAGCAACAATGCGACCGTATACAATAAATTATAATTATTTTGAAACCTATCATGCATGCCTAACGCACAAAACCTTTGACCAGCTGCCATGTAGCCATTTACATTGGTACTTTTCAATTCAAAATATAGAATTGATCATGTTTCTCCCCACAGAAAGAATAATTGCAATAATTTATTTCGAAAAATCGACTTCAAATTTTATTCCCTGATAATTCCAAAATATTTCGTATCGCTCTCTATGGTTTTTGCATTAACCATATTAATGGCCATTATACGAAATGATATTGATTGATTCACCACTTTAATGTTACAAAACGTTTATCCCCAAACTGAAAAACCTAATTCAAATATTTCATCTCACCGCAGATCCATTGAAACCTGATATTCAAATACTGAATGAACAAAATAATTTCCATTCGAATGAAGGGGGGCGTTTTTCACTATCGTACAACGTGTCATCTTACCCAGCCTCCAATATTACATGGTGGAGATCTAAAGATGGAAAAGAATATGAGTTCATAGCTCAGTGTTTGGGGTCTAAAAAGTGCAAAGTTCTCGGTGGAAAAGAATATATTACGAATACAATTTTCGAAATAGAGGATCTTAAATTTCCCGAAGATAATTTCTTCTACAAATGTAATGCTAGTAACCACTATGGAAATAACTCAGAAACCTTTCGACTACAAGTTTACGGTAATGTAAAAATTATATACCACAAGTATATATATATATATATATATATATATATATATATATATATATATATATATATATATATATATATATATATATATATATATATATATATATATATATATATATATATATATATATATATATATATATGTTAAGTTGTGTTATTATATAACACTTGCAGAACTATAGTATTGTTCGATGCTGAATTAATATAAACGACTATGTTTATGACATTCAGTATATATTTCGTAATTTCCAGTCTTAAATCCGTCTGACCGTGTAGCTCAGTTGGTAGAGCGTCGATCTAGTAATTCGAAGGTCGCGGGTTCAAGACCCAGCCGCGGCAAACAACATCTTTCTGCTTGCGCTGGGTATGGAAATTATATAATACACACTCTAGAACATTTTCATCTTAACATATTACGGAGTGTACAATTACACAACATATATATATATATATATATATATATATATATATATATATATAATATATATATATATATATATATATATATATATATATATATATATATATATATATTTAACAATTATACCATGAGCTCGAGTCGTATATGAGCTGATAGCTGACGAGGTGCGTAGCACCGAGTCGGCTATCAGCCATATACGACGAAAGCGAATGGTATAATTGTTTTATAATATAGTCTAATATAGCCATTAACTGAAGCAGTAATTAATTATTCACTGTTACAATGTGTTGACAATGTGTGTGGCCAAAAACCGCCTTGAAAATTTGAAATACTTTTGTTTTACAACTCGAAGACGAAGTGAAAGAAATTATTTTAGAACCTCTATATTTCACAGGAATGCTCAGATATATTATACAGATGTTTGGTACTATAGTAAGTGCTTGTTGACTGCAAATTCATTTGTCGTTCATTGCAAACTTTTCTGAACAATTTATATTCTCAGTGAACATGTTTTTTCGCTGTTGTTTCGGTATTAATTCTTTAAAAAACTTGTATTTAAACTAATTTCTACGTAATAAATGTGGTTTGCTAACCTGTCAAATTTTTTTGAGAGTTTTTCCTTGTACTCTTATGTTTCTCAAAGCGAATATTTTCCTTTTTCTGCTTCGCAAAACTCATGTAGTTTTTGGACCGCCATCTTGTTTTTCGCTACTCGCCGTATATGAGCTGATATACGGCGAGTAATTCAACCAATCAGATTGCAGAACAGCTCATATACGGTGGATGACTATATTATAAATATATATATATATATATATATATATATATATATATATATATGATTTGGTGTGGATGCGTATCAAGCCTATACTCAGAAAAATTCTGAGCCCTAACGGGAATTGAACCACGTAACCTTCTGATTACCGGACAGACGCTCTAACCATTGAGCTATAAGGCATCAGATGGTGAGCCAAGGTTACGTTATTTACTAGTTCTGTGTGTTACATGTGTACTGCTAACTGCAAGTCTCGACATGTCTTGTTGATGTTATTATTAAGAACTGCATTTCTGTATATGTGTGTTTTTGTGGCAGCTTGTAGAATATGTGATTTGGTGTGGATGCGTATCAAGCCTACACTCAGAAAAATTCTGAGCCCTAACGGGAATTGAACCACGTAACCTTCTGATTACCGGACAGACGCTCTAACCATTGAGCTATAAGGCATCAGATGGTGAGCCAAGGTTACGTTATTTACTAGTTCTGTGTGTTACATGTGTACTGCTAACTGCAAGTGGTTAGAGCGTCTGTCCGGTAATCAGTCAATGGTTAGAGCGTCTGTCCGGTAATCAGAAGGTTACGTGGTTCAATTCCTGTTAAGGCTCAGAATTTTTCTGAGTATAGGCTTGATACGCATCCACACCAAATCACATATTCTACAAGCTGCCACAAAAACACACATATACAGAAATGCAGTTCTTAATAATAACATCAACACGACATGTCGAGACTTGCAGTTAGCAGTACACATGTAACACACAGAACTAGTAAATAACGTAACCTTGGCTCACCATCTGATGCCTTATAGCTCAATGGTTAGAGCGTCTGTCCGGTAATCAGAAGGTTACGTGGTTCAATTCCCGTTAGGGCTCAGAATTTTTCTGAGTATAGGCTTGATACGCTTCCACACCAAATCACATATTCTACAAGCTGCCACAAAAAAAACACACATATACAGAAATGCAGTTCTTAATAATAACATCAACAAGACATGTCGAGACTTCCAGTTAGCAGTACACATGTAACACACAGAACTAGTAAATAACGTAACCTTGGCTCACCATCTGATGCCTTATAGCTCAATGGTTAGAGCGTCTGTCCGGTAATCAGAAGGTTACGTGGTTCAATTCCCGTTAGGGCTCAGAATTTTTCTGAGTATAGGCTTGATACGCATCCACACCAAATCACATATTCTACAAGCTGCCACAAAAACATATATATATATATATATATATATATATATATATATATATATATATATATATATATATATATATATATATATATATATATATATATATATATATATATATATATATATAATGTATATAAGCTTATTTTACCCAGCAAAAGCCTGGAGTCAAAATGGAGTCGAAATGTCAAATTTGAAAGTTTCCAGTCAAATTTCATTTTGGTTGGACATTTTTTCCGGACAATTCTTAATGTTATTTCAAGCTCTGTGGTACGTTTCTAGTTAGCATGTCAGCAGATTGATCAGATATCTATACTGTATTAAGATATTTTGTGCCAGTACATGCTGTTAATTAAATATAGAATATAGTTCTTAAATCTTTCAGGCTAATATTGCCTTGCACTGAGGACCAGTTTACATGTGAGACAACTTGAACATGGTTGGTCTATGTAAACACTAACGTTAAACTTAATAACTGCTTTTATGACAAAATAAAACATTTTGATTTCGACGTTAGACAATGTAGTAAAAACATTTTGCGGTAAATAAATAGTCTAGATGAACAATACATATTGCTTTTATATTGCATGCATTCAAAGTCTGCTTTAATATGACTCCTGCAAGTGTGCAAAATATTCTTTTAGTATGCTTTGAAATCACTGGAAAACTTTTTGATAAATATTAGCTAAATCCTACTACATTTGAAGGTAACACTCATTACTATTTTTCTGTCTGAAGAATGAACTAGCAGTGTTCTCTTTTCACTATTGTATAAAATATATATAAATTAAAATTAATATACACTAAGGCCTTGTCCACATATCAGGGTGCGATAATTCAATATTTTAGTCGTACCTGACTGGTACGCCATTGGTTGTTGCCACATACTTGCACAAACTCAATATACTCAATGTGTATTTAGTCATTCAAATAATTTTCATAAAGTACAGGTTTCTGAAAAGTACGTTCAGCTTACAAGGTAGAAAAAGAAGCACAGCGTAATACAAACAATGGACTGATTGGACTCCAGCGTTTCTTAGTGCCATCAGTCCAATCATGTTTCATACCAAAACATCTCAGACACATGGTATACCAACTAAATTAAAGTTTTGGATACCTTGGGCTTGGAAAGCTCGTGTGATATCAACAAAAAGTAAGTACGCAGATAGCAAGAGTTCCGCGTACCTACGTGGAACTTGACTGAAAACGCAGAGCGTAATATTGGCGTACCTCCAGTACGTAAGTACGCGAATTATCGCACCCTGTATATATACATACAATATCAAGTTTGTTTCAAAATTCATTTATTCAGTCTACAAAAGACACAAACTAAGACAGAAATAGAGTTATGAGACTTTTACCGCATATCATACATTGTATTAGTCAGAAGAGTTTTCTATTCATGTTAATTAAATACACAGAAAACTGCCACGTCTTTGTATTTCTTTTAGTTTGTTGGAAAGGTAAATGCAAACATTTTGTTCCGTTTTCAAGGAAATCTTGCTCCACTTATACCCTCTGGTCCACAGGAAATACGTAAAAGTTGAGATAAGACGTGTAATAGGAGCATGTTTTTTTCAGCATAGTGCATACAACCCCCCCCCGATGTACTTGCATAGACGATGTCATGGACATTATGTCATAGGCGATGGATAAGATTTTTTTGGTTGGGGAACTAGGGAGGCCTAGGGGCTTGTGCCTGGGAAATTTTGAAATCTACAATTTCTGAAATGTATACTTGAACTGTCTGTACCAGTGCAGGTAGTACCGATGTGAAAATGCTGTGCTGAGTGGTTATATTACTACCTTAAAAAATAAGCAGAAACTCGACGTTTCGAGCGAAGGCCCTACGTCAAGAGTTGTAGCAGGGATCGGGGAAAATGCATGGGCTTTTATACTAAGAGTATGAAAGCATCACGTGACAAAAAAATAAACCAATTAGATGGATTTAATAATAACAAAGTGTAAACAAAATATGTAAATTGCATTACAGAATATAATATAATTAAAAATATAAAAATAAACAGGAAGTTAAGACAATTACTACAAAAAATAATCAAAACAAAACACGAGTGGGAATAAGGTAAAAGTAATAAATAGAAGTGGTCAATTGAATGTCTGCTATAGACAGGCAAAGACAGATGGCATCATAGACAAAACAGAAGACATGTCTTCTGGATTGTCTATGATGGCATTAAACATAAGAAAAGCGTTCACTAATGCCAGAAGGGTGAACAGTGCCAAGTTTGGATATGAGGCGCATTTCATGTTGTTTGCGGCTATCGTTGCTTCCAGAAATGGGACAGAGGGCTCGAATTAACATATCTGAAACACTGTGATTACCATCATTAAAATGTCTGGCAACAGGTTGGTTAGCATCATTGCCAATAACTGCACGCCGATGCTCACCAAACCTTGTCCTTAAACATCTTCCAGTTTCCCCAATGTAAAGCATGCCACATCTGCTGCAAGAGATGCAGTAGATGAGATGGGAGGAGGCGCACATGAAATGGTGCTTGATGTGAAATTCAGATTTAGGTGCCGAAACAATAGTGGTGGAATCTATAAAATCACAGGTTTTACATTTCGACGACAGGCAAGGGAGCTATGGACAAGGGTTTCACAGATATTTTTGCTGTGTCAAACCCATACACATCACACCTCGCACACCTGTCATATACTTCTTGCCACATCACACCTCGCACACCTGTCATATACTTCTTGCCACATCACACCTCGCACACCTGTCATATACTTCTTGCCACATCACACCTCGCACACCTG